GGCGGCGATCCCGGAAGGGGTCCGCGCGGTGACGCTCCCCCCTCCTCTCCCGCCCGAGCGGGGGAGGGGGGGGGGAGGCCGCCATATTTAGTGAGGGCAGGGGGGGGGGGGCCCGCCCTATTGAGTGAGGGCAGGGGCAGCGGGCCTCACGCCTGCGGGGCGGGCCTGGTGCGGCTCCCACGGTGTTTAAATAAACCCTTCATCCTCCCCAGGCTGTAGAACGAGAGGGAAATTGGCATCAGCGCAGGGTCCTGCGGGAGGGAGGCGGCGAAGCCCCATCGTGTCTCCTGCAGCCTTTTGGGGGGGCGTCTTGGTGGCCCAGGCCCCACAGGTGACAACCTGCGCGCACGCCTGGCTGCGTGGCCACAGATGCCTCCCCGCAGCCGGGGGAGTTGCTTCGCTTCCAGTCCGGCTGGGATATGCTCATCCCGAGCCACTGTGGCCAGCAGCTGCTGGCAGAGGAAATGTTTCCACTGCCTGTGGTCATCCCTAATCGCCATGTTCTGTCACGACAGGCTTTTCCTACGGCAAACCCAGCAGGAGATCTGTGAGGAAAAGGCCGCATCCAGCAGTTCAAGGATTTCCTCAGTAACACTAGATGGTACCAGAGCTCCACACAGGCTCAATCAGCACCCAGCCGGACAGAAAGTACCTCAAAAATGGAAATTCTGAAACATGGAACGCCGAAGATGTAAAGCTGCAATACATTAATGTGCTGTTGGCAAAGTAATCGCTTTTTCTATGGGAAAAAGCGGATAGGGGACTTGCGAATAAAATAAGGACATTTTTCTGGTGTTCAGGGCAGCGGGTGTAATGTAGTATTTGTGCTTAAAAATTATCAGCAAAACAACAGTATTACAGTACCTGGTAGAGAAGCATTTGAAGACCAGTTCTCAGGGAATTTTTCATTACTAATAATTAGTTAATAGTTAAGGAAGATCTAGCGAGTATTTTAACTTAAGCAGAAACTGCCATTAAATCATAAAAATGAGGTACGTTACTGGTATCGTTAATATTAGGAACTATTGAAGCAGCACTCAGAATATGATCACCTTTTTCTGTAAGCAGCTGCACACATTGCAACATGCTGCCCGAAATATTCATGCATTAAAAAAAAAAAGTCTTCCTATAAATGAATATTTATTCCATGAATAATCCTTAATGTCTTCATAGCTTTCAACACATTTGGGCAAAATGTTTCAAGTTTCTGTGCTTACAGTGAAAAATCTAAACCCGACACCTAAGTAGGTAGCCTGATTTCAGCTGTACAGAGCACTTTCAGGAGAGACATCATTTCCTTCATACAGTTGCCTCTGTAGCATGACAGCATTTTAGCAGCCTCGAGTAACTCAACACAGCAATTTAGGTGATGAAATGAAGGATTGAGATAGCAGGGAGAAATAATAAAGGCAGAACTGGCACTTGGCCAGAATAATTTTTCTAAAACTCCACTCTCATGCAGAAGTCCTGCGAGATGATCTTATGGCTAAATATGGTCAGAACTTCAGTGCTGCGCCTCATCCAAAACACAGCAACACTGGTGTTTCCTCTCTTTCCAGATGAAGAGTTGGCGTCGGTGTCCTATTTTTAGTGGTGTGGGTGTAAAATATGTTGGTTAAGTTTCACATCGCCTGAGCTTGGCCTGTTCTGCCATGTTGGGTTTCATGCCCAGACCTAGCAAAGCTCAAGGTCTGGGATTGACATCATAGGCTCCTGCTTCATGGTCTTTGTCTTGTAGGTCAGTCTTTTGCATTTGGGGTGAGGAGAGAACTCTCCTTGAGCCCGTAACTCAAACATAATGCCCCATCCTGAGCCACAAGCTGCGTGAAGTAAGTAAAAAAAGAGAAAGAGCTTCCAGTGAACTCCTAGTCACAGTGAGAGGACCAGCGATTAGGCTGGCATTCAATCCATTTCAACGGCCAGCAAAAGCTGGTCCATAAAGTGCTAGAAATATCTCAAAACACACCTGGAAATGCAGATTCTTCTGCTCATGTTTCAGCACGAGAGCAATAGCTTTCCCATCACCTCACAGCACAGACTGCTTTGCTGTGCGCTTGCCTCTGCCCCTTTCTGTGCGAAGGAAGCGGGAACTCTGTACTGCTGTTTGCTCAGGCTTGGCGCAGCGCAAGGTCATGTTTGTCAGCTGCCTGGAATGGGAGTAGAGGCTCGGGAATAGAGAAGATAAGGGTATATTTGGAGATATCTAGTAACCTTGAAATAAAGGAGTGGAATATAGATAATAATTAGCTGCAGGCTTGAAGGTGAAACACTAAGGAAGGAATATGCAACACCATGTATCAGTAAAGCTGCTACTGGCTGCTAGGGCTGTGCCTGTCACTTCGCCACAGAGCCCTGCCACGCTCTTGGTTTATTTTACAAGGGAGAGGCATGGAACCGTCCCAGACTGGACCCACATCAGTGCTTCTAGGAGGCCTGACAAGGAGCAGTCTGGACCAGGTCAGGGCATTAACTGAAGGTGCAGAAGACTTCTGCTCCCTGGGAATGAACAGCCGTGGGCTGGAGGAATGGGTTTCTATCTGCCAGCTCCTGAAGTAGAAGGGGAATTTATCTCCGACTGCAACAGCCAAGCTGTAGAGCAAGCAGACCATTAAAATGTCCATTCAAAAAAAATTTCACAACCCATTTATATTTACTGTTGCTTCATTCTGTTGAAAGTCAAAAGCCCATTTGTACCCGATGAAAGGCTTGGGATAGATCAATTGACTGGAAAAGGCTCTGAGGATTGAAACCTACAATTCCACATGGACAAGTGCTAATCCATCAGTCTGCTGAGCCCAACCAAGGTGCCGCAGGTCTTTCCATGCACTCGGAGCTGACTCATGTCATGGCTCTTGTGCTCGTTTGGCCCAAAAAAGGATGTTCAGTGCTGGAACTGTAAAAGAGATTCTTATAACTGAGCTTCTGGGAAAAGAGTTGTGGTCTTTTCTAGCTACCTTCAGCATCTCTGCAGATTCATTGCCTCTTAATGGGCAGACTTTCCATGGTGACATGAAGATGGGTTCCCCCCCCGCTTTAATCTTTGAAGTGCCTCCTAGTGCATTGCAATGGGCTGACGAAGCGTTGTCTGCTCTATGGAATCAGCTCTGCTCAGGTTTCATAAGGAAACAGGACTTATGTGATTGTAACATGCATATGAGTGAATGACAGGCTCTGTTTGTACCCTGATTGTTGCTGAGATGGGAGGAAACCATCCTTGTTCTCCAAAAACCAGGGTTCAAGAGGAGGGGTTGAGAAAAACCATGCCTACTGTGAAGGAAGAAAAAAATGCTAGCAGAGTGAGAAAAACTGGGTTAGCTCGGGGCCTGCTTTAGCAGCTTTCTACCTCTGTCTAAGTAAGAAACAAGCTTTTACTTGAACCCTGGTTTTGTGAGGAAATGAGATTTATGTGGTGAGAGCCCATGTGTGAGTGTATGTTTCCCCCACAGCCCCAAACCCTGGTAATTACTGAATTCTAGTGCCCATTTCAGCCAAATGGACAGCAGGTAGAAATCCCAAAGGTAACACGTTCCTGAAAGTGTTGTGATGAGAGATGTGTGCATGTGAGAGACAGAAACCCTCCATTTATGTCTTCTCTGAATTCAACCATAATCAGAAAACTTCAAATCCAGGATGAGATGGGACAAAATTTCCCAAGCCATGGAAGACCCTTGGTAGCATTCATGCCTATGAGGCACCAGAGAGCCCACCCAGTAGAAAACACCTAAGAAGGGGACTCTGGGTGGCTGATCAGGCAGGAATTGCTCTGGGTGAGGTATTCGTCCTGTCTTTTTTCCCACGTGGCTTTTCTGGTGTCTAAGAAGGGGTGAAAGCCTGCCTCAGCCCCAGTACAATTAGGTTTAAAAGTCCATCAACCATGAGGCACGAATCCATTGGAAACCAGGCTTCATTACTTCCAGTGCTAACAGGACAATGTGGGGTTTTTTAATGCTTGAGCAAAACCTGTTCTTTTAGCTCTTTCCACTTGTAATTTCTTTCCTTCCCCAAGACCAAGTAAAGTAGAAATTAGATGCCGTGAGAAAGACCGTTCTCAGGGTATTTCAGGCCCTGTAAAAATGGTCTGGTTTGTTGGCTTTTCAGGGGGACAACAGCCGGGCCAGGGCAGGAGAATCACAAGGACTCACCGGCGCTAATTCACCTTCGGCTATGAGCCAGCCTGCGTCCCGAGCGGGAGAGAGGAGAGGTGGAGATGCTCCCTACCTCAGCACAGAGGCAGCCAAGAGCTCTCAATTTAAGAAACAGATGAATATGAACCTCGTTGGAATGCCTTCAAAAATCTGCTAGCACTCTCCTCCCTGCCGAAAGCCGAATAAATCCCCTTCGTATTTCAGGCTCCTAGCGAGGCCCTGAAATATTATCAGTGCTCTTTGACACTCTACCTGCCCCTCATCCCACCTGGCTTTCTACAAAACACATTTCCTCTGCTTTCAGGAAAAAAAAAAAGAAAAAAAAAGTCAGGTTCATTCGAACCCTGACACTTCTCTAGCACTAGGGTGATCAAGTCTCCTCCGTTTTATATTTGGTATTTTAATAGGGTTTCCTTTTAGACCTTTAATGAGTTTTTATTCCCCTTTGTATA